CGTGCATTGGCTGCGGAGAGAAGTTGGTCGGAGCTTTTAGGAAAATGGGCGAGGGAGGAAGTCGAAAATCAGTGGGGAAAACGAGAGAGAGGCGCTGCGGTGTTTTTTTGGTATTCCGGGTTCGGAGGGTGGGTGGTGGGCACGGTCGCGTAACGGGATATCGATTCGCTACCAAAATTTGAGGGTGCGAGACCACGAGGAAGGTCCGCGCCCTTTAATTAGAAATGAATTTCACGGCAATTTGAGCACACCGAAAAAAGTGATCTTTCGGAGGGCGGGCAAGGAACGGCGGGGTGGAGGGAGGAGGGAGGAGGGAGGGGGATGTTCACGGAGGGCTTGCCGATATTGGCGTACCAATTAATTTAATTGGATTCACCCAGCGCCATTCCCATTGTAAGCTCGCAGCCGCACTTAGCCACGTGCACCTTTTGTTTTCTTCGACGGTTCTTCGATCAAACGGAGCTGCACATCATCCTAGAAGTTTCGCTCAGTACTCCAATCGTGCGAATCGGTCCAGCTTCCCAATCTTCCTGACACGTTCTGGCCGCGTCGCTTGAAATCCAAGAAAAACATGTCGACGCGACAGTCGGCACCGCGACGCCTAACGAGTGGATGCCGTTTATTTGTACCTCGGTCACTTTCGTCAGGTTGCACTCGATCCTAGGCTGCAATAGAATCCGCAGGCACCGAAGAGTCAGTGAGAACTCTGCCGGGCAGCGGGTCGTTAAAGAAGAAATCGGTCGGCTCTCCAATCGGCCTGAAGTCTCGAAAGAAGCCAGCGAAGCTTCTTCTCGTAAATAGATCGTGTCCAAAATGCCAATTGGACTTTGCCGAGGGACGCCGAGCAACGTCAAGGCGGCTACTTCGGGCTGTCTAGTTGGCTGAACATCGTCGGCAGCTTCCTATCTTCATCGGCGTAACTATCGAGGTTCCACGCTGCAGCCTTGCTGCTTGTGCGAGTCCTGTCTTCATATTCCATGGGGCTTTTATTACGTGGCCCGTGAGAATAAGAAAGGGTCAAGGGTTGTCAGGTCGGAGCTGCAGGTACCGTGTGCCAACAAGAGAACCAATTATGAGGGATCCTTCCAACGTGACTTAATATTCATTAGCATATAAATGGAGCTGAAATTCGCATGACCTTGCTTCTACTCTGGGAATTCAATCATTCTCCCAGCCACTCCCTCTCCTTCAGCCTTTTATTTCGTCTGTTGCAATTACTGTGCCATTACTGTACCTTGAACCAGACCGTACCACAAATTCTAAGCTTTAGCATTTATTGCCTTTTGTTCTCCAGTTGGCTGCACTTAGATTGTGTAGACCTTCCGAACATAGAAAATAACGTAATCCCTGTCTCTTTCCTTCATGGCGCATCGTTAAACGGTCGAATTGCAAAATTGGACCGTTATGTGGAACAACGTCTACGTTAACCTGCTGCATAAATTGCTAGTCAAAGAAGACAAGAGTATAATAATTAGGTTGGTTATTCGTATTACGGCGTGAGGCTGCACGTTACTGGTGCTAGCCGGTTCATAGCCAGATGAAATACGATAGTTCGGCAGGATCATCAACCTGGAGCGAATCAATTCTTAGGGAAGGGTTGTGAAAGCCCTTTCACATTATGCTACTCCGAGAGGGTCGAAAATTTGAAAGCGGAACGTTTCCCGCTGTACTCCTTTAACAAGCTATATGTATAATTAAGTTATTAGCAACACTCGTATGGTCCTTCTAATTAGTAAAATTAAACCCGTTTTAAGCAGCTAACTCAATGGCTTATGGCGGATGGGACGCAGACAGATTTTTGTAGTTTTGGCGGAACGACACCCTTCGTGGCATGTGACGTTCTCACGGGGAACATCCTCAGGGATACTGAGAGTTGGAAGGGTAAATACGATAGTCTATAGTGATACTTTCCTTAAATTTATGTTAAGTAGTCCCCTATTACTCGCAGTTTCTTCCGTCTGGTTTTTCCCCTTAAATTGTTAGCGACGCTCGTTGCCATCGAGTATCAACAATCGTATCGCGTTAATATGATTTAGCCGTCGGCATGTCGCAACAGTTTCTTAAATTAGAGATTCTTTTTTATCGAGAATCACGGCTGTTAACGACGGCTATAATTAAGTTTTTTTTCTTCCCTTTTTTTGCCACACCTTCCAGGCCAGAAATGTACTCGCATTCGTTTCTATGGGCTACTAACGAAATGACGTAGTTCAGCGAATCGAGTTGTTTACCGTTTTCCAATACAACGCCGTATCTACCAACAGTTGTGTATGTAGTACAGCTGATCTATGGTTATAATTTGGCCACGCATGATATCTGCTATTATGTGTTTTTTTTCTACGACTCTAGCAAATGTCTAATAATACCCGCATGATGGAGCAGCATAATCACCTGCTCGAAGGTGATTACAAAATTGTTCTGTTCTCTATCTTCGTGACCTTTTTGACTTTTTCCGAGAAGCCGATTTTGAGGGTGAAACTGAACAAGAATTTATAATCTACTTGGAGTTTGGATATGAAAATAATTACGTTACAAACTGGATTAGCACGTAAGCTTCACGGAGCTACCTCGAAAGCGAGAATGGAACATCGAAGCGAGTAATATTTGGGGAAAAAGTTACATCTCGTTCGAGATTAAATAATTATAAAAATTACCGTCGACCTATGACAAAGTTTCAGACTTAATATCGCGCTTCGTATAAAAATGCAAAAATTATTCGGTCAATTCTCTTTTTTTTGTGCCGTCAGTTCTCCACAAATGACTTTTCACGCAATAGATTGTAACTTCCGTTTTCTCAAAACCACTGACTCCTTATAGCCACCATTCCATTTATCACTTCAACCTTGCTGAAAGAAAAAAATGAAAACTTCCTTCTGTTCAGCAGCTCGAGTCATTGTGATTCGAAACAATGGACGTCGCTGCATCCCAGTTCTCAGCTTCTCTTCGGGTTCATTATCGATCATTCCTCGTTCGCTGTTGTTTTATCGTATATTCGAGACCCCCTCCCGCCTCTTTTCATTAAATCTTCCATCCTTCCCATTTCTTTCACTCCTTATTCATCTTGTGTTCGCGCTAATGATTAATCGCTGGTGACAAATATTATCGTTCGACGCGTCGCCCGTTTCCTTTTAAAATACAAATCATTTCTGATTGGAAAAATATCCAACGACTTATGTCGTTTAAGGGTGAATTCAGAAGTAATTGTCATCGTGTCGATTGCTGGGAAAAAGAGACGCACAAGATGCGGAGAGTACAGAAGCTTTGGTTACAATCTATCGTACCTACTCACTTATTCCTAGCCATCCCTACGCTAGTCGTGTCTTCTCCTTCTTTCCTAGATTCCTCTCTTTACTTGCGTTCCTTTAGTTTCTCATACGAGACGCTTTCTCGCATGAACTGCTCTTCCCTCTCGATCTTCGTAGAGCAGGTAGTTGTTACTGCTGCTCCCCCTCAAGCCATTATCTCGAAAATCTCCATCCTCATTCGAGTCAAGCACTCGGTTGGGCGACGCGGCGATGTTACAAATAAGCTTGCAGCTTCTTTTGAGATCGCACATCCGTCGTATTCACTACTCATTCAGTACTACGATTTGCAAAGCTTGCATTGAGAACTTACTTGTGCTCTACGTGTATCTGATTGTTGGATAGGATCATTGTGAGCACGTATGTAAGAAGACGAGAGAAATAGAGAAAGAGGGAGATGTCTTATCGAATTTTCTTACATAACATAATCTTCCGAAAATATGTTTCAAAGGTTCAGAAGTTTGGCTGCTGTGCCAAGATTATTTGACGGTACTTCCCATCGACAACTCCCTCACTATTACACGTGGGTTTTTGTCATAGCTCTAGAGAAGTTCGCAATTTTTAGTGTACAAATCTTTAACACTATTCAGAGGGTAAATGTGAGAGCACGACTGTTACATCGGAGCACGTTGCTTGTATAACCGCCATCGTTAACCACTGGTAAATTAGGCAGTACAAATTTTCAGGATCTAATCCATGCTTAATCTAGATGCTAGAGAAATTTTCCAGCATAGCGATTTTACGAAGCTTGTAAAATCGTTTACTGACTCAAATGCACCATCGTCGTATAATAGAGAAATGCGAGCCAATTTAAACTGCTCTTAAATCCTAACGAGCTACCTGTGAGTTCTCGGGTAACGACACCATAATCTTTCACAGCTGTACTTACTACCTTCTTTCTCTCTCGTTGAAGCGAGCGACCTACTACACATATTTGCGTATCACCACATATGACTGTCAAGTTACTTACGTGCTGTGAACACTTATAATTCTCCGTTGTATCCTTTATATCCACACAACTGAATCTGTTTGTCTCATTTTCCTCAGCACAGCATTGGCTGTGTTCAGCAGAAATATCGCTGAGGGAGCAAATACGCTTGATTAGTCATTTGATCGTTAATTTTGCAACAGTGTCAGATTTGAATAATCTCTTGCTGACACTATTCACAAACTAATGTAAATTAAGTTATATCAGTCACAAACACATGTCCAACTTCTCGATAATTCTTATTAAAAGATCATTACCCGCCACGGTCCCTTCTACGTCCATTGACATTTATCGTTTTCAGGTTTCCCATCGTGTTACTCTTAAAACGTTTGAATTCTTTATACATAGTGTGAAACGGTCGTTCTCTATTTATCATAGGTGGTGGCGCTGCTGATCGAAAATGGCGAGCACCGCGCGGCGCGTGATTAATCGCTATTACGAGTTCATTTAAAAATTAGTTCTCTCCGTGATATTTATGAATTCAAATGTTTCTCTGATTTTCACATTCGGCCCATGGTCATGATAATTTGTTGGCGAAAAGAGCCAGATGCGTAGTATTAAATTCGACTTTGCCCCATCGTTCAACTCTATTTCTGTTGTTCTCAAACTCCTCGGTCCTCCCTTCGCCTTCCATACCGTCAACGCCGGAGTTGAATGCATCTTCCAAGCTGCCGGCGTGTATTCTATAATTCTATTCTATATTTCACGCTTTCCGCCACTATGCCGTTCCATTACTGACTGTTGGCTGGCGTCTAGAAAACAAAGTAAAAACACAGGCGACGGAAATAGATCTCGAATTTGACAACAAAATTGTGATCATAAAAATACTCGAGAAATAACGAAGAGTAATTATAAGAGACGACGAGGAAGACGAAGAGGAAGAAAGAGTTAGGAATGTCCGATTCCTCGCAACTGCTCGTAACCTCTTATACCTTTCTGAGGACTCAACACTGGTAACTTTCAAGAATTCACTGGCATCGATCGTCCTTGGAAATTCCGACCACGATTCCATGTTGCGTCACAGTCGTGAGGACAATTTCATCTCTTGGTTATTTAAAATACTCTGGAGTATCTCAAGACTACGAGAAGAGAATAGGAGAGAGGACGTAAGTAAGAATACATCTGTATAATAAGATTTTAGAGTAATAATACGGACAATGTCCGGGAAACAATATTTTTCTTCAGGAGTTAGAAACCCAAAACATGAGAAAGAATAAGTGACGGGCGAAATTAGTAGGTACGTGGCTTATTTAGTGGCGTACGAAATCTCATTGGGAATTAGAAAATTCTTTATCGGAATCCAGTGGAAGTTTTGATTACGACCCGTGTTGAGAATAAAGCGACCATTTTGAGTTCGAAGTATGATACGTGACAAGTCGACCTTACAAGATTGTGTCGTCTCGGAAAAGACGAACTTCTGCTTTTTGTAGCAGAGACGTGTGAAAACCCGTAATTCCACAATGCGAGAGAATTGCAGTAGTTCTTTTAGTAAAATGTGAAAAGACAATTCTTTTATTGATGGTCAAATGAAACACGATAATATTAAGAATCTGAATCTCATTCGATGATAGACGTTCGTCGATATTTTTCGTTCATTTCTTATTGGAATGATCGTTCGGGATTTAAAGTAAAGCGGAACAATCGAGTTACTTAATTCGAATGTCGAGTGTGTTCTTTAACGGCAAATATGGAATAGGAAATTTCAAGAGGTCGCAGAAAGAAACCATTTACGTGTTTTCAATTAGAGAAACTTCGAATACAATTGTCCTGGGCAATTAACCCTGAGGAGTTGTGTGCGGGGTGAGATAGCCTCTCTTGACGTCACCACCTTGGCGTCTCCGTGGCGTCGCGACTCTGGCAACTCGTCTTCGGTTTATCTCAGCAAGGACGACTGCCTTTAGCCTTCCTAACGCCCTCAGATTTTAGTTCTCACTCCGTTCCACTTATTTTATTACTCTACCAGAGTCACAGACGGCGAATATCGTTTTTCTGCGGTATAATGCCGCGAATTTTTGGTTAGCTAGCTATTCCATTCATAATATAAGATGTCTCTCGGAATTTTCTGGGATATTCTATCGAATTTAAAGAATCGCCTTGGGGAATCTCTCAGTGGATATGGGACTGGTCAACGATTCCACTTCTAGGATCTTCCATTCTTATCTCTCACACCCTTATAGCAGTTTGACCTGCTTCTAAACTGACTTTTACAACCTATTGGAAATAAATTTCCCCGCGGAACTTTCTTCGACGATTTATATTCATTGATTTTGCACTGTGTAATATCCTTTGGTTTCCAGAGATAACGTCTGTCAGTTTGATCTTTACATATGTTTTGTATGTTTATCAACATAAAGATAATGGCTTGGGGAATTGGTAGCTTGTCTTCTCTTAATTCTTTATATTGTTTGTAAATGATATCGTATAGAAGAGATTATACGACTTGCCTATAGCTGTGCACACTCCAAGCACCCTGGTCACTGCCGTTAGATGACTTTCTGGTGGTCGGATGTAGCCAGACATGTCATCTGAAACGCTATTCATCCGGAAATCCTTGGCACGGGTCACCATGGTAAATAATAGTTTCTTTGATTCACACTGAACCACCCGTAAGGACCGAGGAACCAATTCGGCAAGTAGCTAGGAGGACGTGTCCCGAATGTGTCCGAACACGCAAACCTGTCGCGCTCTACTGAATAAGCTCCCGCGAAGAGCTTTCATCTTATCGCAGCATCCACCCGCCGAAAACTCGCGCTTGCGCTACCCTCACGAATTCCGCTTATTTATGCGTCGCAAAACAGTTTCGCGAATGACTGCGCAATACCATTTTATGATGAATGAATGAAGACATTTTGTACCGGCAAGTAGACATTTATTCCATCTATGTGTTAGGCTATATGGATATGTATACAGAAGAAACAGAGAGTGTGGAGTATGATTTACAAAAATATATAATTATTTGCGTGCGTAGAACCTGTGAGGTAGAACGCTTTAATCTTACGATCAAACAATTGGAAAACTCGTAATGCGTGATCGGCGTGCGCTTTAATCGATATATTCGCGTGCCCCGCACGAACAAGAACTTATAGTTCCCCTGTCTCATAGATTACACGGAAAAGAATTCCGTCCACGCTCCTTTGAACTTCCTGTGGTTCTCACAAAGGCATATGCATCTTTCATTCTTGAGGACTCTTTTGAATAGTCAGCTACCAGACAGAGCAAACGAATCATCGCGCGACTTTGCCTCGTGTTTTCTTTCTTGTTTTCTTCATTATTCTTGGACTGGAATCCCAGCCAGGTTTCAATAAACTCGATTTCGATGTCTGCGCCGAGATTTGTCTGCCTTGTATTTCCAAACTCTCAAGGTTGTTGTTCTGAGACACCAGTGGCGATACTAGAACCATGTCACGTGATATGGGAATCAGGGAATTTCGACTACGTGGAACGGAAGTCGGAGAAGTTGCCAATGATCTGTAATGTAATTTCCAATCAATCAATTGCCTATCCTCGCGCAATCAAGGAAAGTCTGTTTTTTGGAATTTTGCTTACCTGTTCTTGCTACTTGGTAATCTTGAGGTATCAATGGGTGCGAGTCTGACATTCTTTGGCCAAATGGTTGGACAGACTGGTGCTTGCCAGGCAGATTGAACTTGCGGAATCCTTGCAAGAGCGGCTCTCCTCGCAGAGGAGCTTTTAAAACCTGATTCCACTAATCTTGCAGACCCTGCCAATGAGATAATATATCGGTAACATTCCTTATTATGCTTTTATTGATTAATCTAATGCCTTACTTTGAGGAGCCGTTATCTCTAGAGACTGCTCCATAAATCTGATAGGAATTGTCTTCAAGGTCGAGAAGCTTTCTCTAGTCGTTACGACAAAGGGTACAGGGCTCACCACGATTTTTTCGTTAAAAACGGTACCAAGCTTGTTTCTGCTTAATTGGGGTGTGTAGAGCCTCTCCCTTTCAATTAGAAAATTCTCTTCATTGGCATCTCTTGAGACGTTTTGCCTCCTTGCCGAAATCAGTGACCCACCGCTTCTGCTAAAATAGAACTTTCTTCTAGAAAATGCTATCAGGTAATAATAAACTTATATAGAATATATGTTCCTTACGCCAAAAACATTCTTTCTTCTAATAATACTTTATTTTCTTCGTCATCTATTCTGCTCTTGGCGCTAACTCTGGATCTGGGATTTTTGCCACTGTACGTTGGTGCTGGCGTTATTCTTAAAACCATGTCTAATTCATTACTTAGTAAATCTGATTCTTGTTCATCAAGAGAAAGCTGTCTGCACAAGAATTCCATGATCAACTGAAGAATTGCTTTCCTCGATTTATCTCGTTGCTGATGCTTTGACGAGTTATCTAAATCCTATATGTAAAATTCTTCTACGATCAAGTAAAAGAGTTTTCATTGGCAAAAGCAAAAATTCACTCACTTGTGGTAGCTTATGTTCTGCATACGTTTCTTCATTCTCAATACTTGAATTCTCCAATATATTTCCTGTTTTTTTTTTTAAGGAGGTATCAGGCCTATAAATTTTCTGCATTGAGACTGGACATTGCCCAACTATTCGCAGGTGTGGTATCTGTGTTCGCCATTGTACACATTCGTCATAAACACTTCCAGATCTCACTTGATTCTCTTCATCGTATAAAGTTCTTTCAACAGCTTCCCAATATGAGATAACTTTTCTTGTCGCCGCCTCCTCCATGTCTTCTGGCCATGAAGCTGAAGTAGCTCCACTTTGTTGATCCCAACTAGAAGAATCTTCAATTCCTTGAGAATGATTCTTTCTGACTGGACTCTCTAAAGAATTATGTATTCCACGACCCTCTTCAGTATCACCCTGTATAGTCATCCTTGAAACGTGTTGGGGTTTTTTACCTATCGCTGGACTAGTCCTTCAATTTGATTTAATAAATCAGAGTTATATCCCCATTACCATGACTCTCACGCTATCACTTTCCATTTCGTTATATAAAAATACTTACACACTTCTATTGAATTTTCTTCTATGCATCTCATAGTTTAGTTAATAGTCTAATTGCCTAAAAAGCAAAATGCGCGTTAACATTTATTCAACTGTGCACTATGAAACAGTGCGTTATTGATTAACTTGATATTTAGTAATTGCAACTCGAAGTCCATTTTGATCGTCCCCGATAAACTCAATTCGCCCGTATTTACTCCAGTATTTACTGACAAGGGATTTCACTTTTTTCTTATTCATGAGGAGGTATACTCCACTGAATTAATTTTATTCTCCACATTTTCTTGAACATCTCGAATCAATCTCGATTGCGATTGTTTATCACGAAATTCAATATTTCATATATTTTCGTGTTTGACAATGAATGAAAACATCAATCCCTAGCTGTTTGGTTATTTCTGCTATTCTGAACTCTGCATTTCTGTTATGATACGCTTGCTCTGATCACTCAATGCTATACTTAGCGAGGAATTGGTTGTAATATCTACTTCTCGCGATACTCCGTCGGTACTGTCATTGAAGGCTGGTTTTATGCTTATATTTAGAAAATAACAGCGAATAACCGCGTAAACTCCAGAACGTACGAATTGGTGCAAATATTTACTTTGTTACAATTAAAAGCAACAATACGCCTGACGCAAGTAAGTAATGGCTGCTGAAGAAGGTTTTGAACAGGTGAGTATTACTCTTTTAGTATTGTACACTTTCCATAAATATCCCTGAAACATAGTATACATCAAGAGAACAGGTTAGATCACAATAATATCCTTAGAAAAATTCCGTAGTTTGAAGATGAGGAGGCTGAAATTCCAATTGGTGGAACTTTACCAGGTGGTAGAAAGAGACTCTTCTCCAAGGAATTGCGATGCATGATGTTTGGTTTTGGAGATGATCAAAATCCATATACCGAAAGTGTTGATCTGCTGGAGGATCTAGTGATAGAGTTCATTACTGAAATGACCCATAGAGCTATGGAAATTGGTCGTACTGGTAGAGTACAAGTTGAAGACATTGTTTTTCTAGGTAATTTATATATCAGATTCTTATGTTGAGATATTAAATGATATCTGGCATTTGGTATATATTTTGTTCTTATTTTCTTAGTCAGGAAAGATCCTCGGAAGTATGCAAGAGTCAAGGATCTGCTAACAATGAATGAAGAGCTCAAAAAGGCTAGAAAGGCCTTTGATGAAGTTAAATACGCAGGTACTGTTAGTCAGTAAAAATTTGATGTTCTTATTATCTGGAATTGAATTTTTATCAGTAGAGGTATGCGTGCTCATGTTCGCTGGTTCCAAAATTTAAGTTTGTAAAAAGAAAGAAATTGTATCATGATTAAAAGGGCAAACAAGTCCTGAAGTATTTGTGATTTGTATAAATTTGCTCCCTGTGAAAGCATGTATGCCTTATTTGAATTATGGATTTAATGGTTTGTATCAGAATCTGAAATTGGGTAATACTGTATATGAAATCTGAACGGCATTCATGTTAATAAGAATGACTGAAAAGCGTCAGATCACCGGCAAACCTATTTGTCTCTTTTAAAAATGTTTTGGTTAGCAGTTAATTATTTATTAAAGTTGTATGTGTCTCGATTAACTGGGATCCAAATTCTAAACTAATATGAACATTCCATTGACTTAGATGTATCTATGTTAAAAAAATGTTCTTGATAGTTTTGCAAAAGCAAATATAAATTGATTGCGTGTAACTGTAAAGTGAGAATGTTTGACCTGACAACTTAATAGAAAGATTTCATTAAAGGATACTTATGTGTTCATATAAATTAGAACAACTTCGATTTATTGTACGTTGGATTGTATTCCGTGAAATAAAAAATTGTAATGCCAATGAAATATTCTCCTTGGAGAGTAACAAATGTATTTTTATAGAGCATGTATACAATGTATCATTCGGTCGGTTTGCCAGGACAAATAATCTTCCCATAGCATTTGATACATGAATATCGTGTCTATAAATGAATATGAAATAAAAAGTTAGACAATTAGTCGCATGTAAAAAGGCATCATTCGCACCACCTACCTATACTTAAGAGTTGCATTCTTACATCTATCAGTCACGATTCGATGAGGATCAATAATGCTCAAAGAAGAATGAGTGTGAAAAGATTGTTCAAGCTTGCCATGCTGTATTATGAATTATGACAATATCATATTTTTCATGGTAAGGCATGCCGACTAACACTGGCCGCTAACTTGGCCGCTGCCTAAGCCACTGGCAAAGTAATTTCGCTTTTGTGTGCCTGCCATGTTAACCCAATGGCTGAATTGTAATCACTGCCATGGCTAAAATAAAGCTTTTGGTTTCTATTGACTATTGGACTATGAGATATCAGAAACCGCGTGTTTTGCTGACAGAATAACATCATTGAGTCCAACACCCTGGTAGGAGGATCCGCAGAGCGCTAGAGGAAGGCCGTGCGCCGAAATGTAATTATGAATGCGGTTCAGTCGTTGCTTGTGGCCGACTACATGTTGAGGAATACAATCTCTAAGGATGGTCACTTTATGGGCGACCGGGCTCTCTTTGATACCCAGGATCTTCTTCGCACTCTCGACCGCCACGCGCAATATTTCGTCCTTGGAGGGACACTCGCCAAAATTTTTTTCGAACCAAGCGCCACCCATCATTACTGTCAGTACCTGTCGATTCAAAATTTATTTAAAAAATATTGTAATATTCTGTCATGATAACAAAACGCGCGAAATTTATCTTATAACGTACCGTGTCTGTTTCATGCGGGAAGACACAAGAGTCGAAGATCACGCCGAGAATAGGTAAATTCTCTTTAGGCGGAACTAGAAAACCGAAGGCCTGCATCGGCAAGACGTTTCCGCTAAACTGAATGTTAACCACGGCCACCGTCACCGTGGGAATCGCTTCCAATTCTCTAGCTAATTGAGGATGTTGTCGGCGAACCAATTGTGCCAAATTTTTAGCCGCGATGCTCGACACGATCCGGGAGTATTTGTCCGTTTCACCATTTATCGTCAACTCTACGTAACCAGGCTTAAAAGTCAGTCTCTCACATCTATTTCCTAAGCGTATGTCCAATCCTCGAGATTTTAAATTATCCGCCAGGGTACGAGGAAGTTGCTCCAATCCATCTTTTAAACCCCATATAGCCCATTTATTTTTCCTAGCCATTTCTGCAGTACCCGAACCGGATACTTCGATAACCTTTGTTTTTGTGGCAAACATTTGGTTTACACGGTTCATCAAAAGACCCTTTGCTATGGAGCCATGTTTCTGTTCCGCCTCAAAGAGAGAAGGCATTAAAAAATTGACACTGATCTGTTTGGCGTCTCCCGCACAGATACCACATATCATGGGACTGATTAGATTATCCGCGACATCTTTGCCTAACCTGCGTTCCACAAAACTGTAAATACTCTCATCCTCTTTCGAGATTCTCGGTGCTTTTATGTCATTCATGAGGATGCTGATCAGAGGACGGTCAAACGGTGAATTTTTGACAAATAAAGACTTAAGGTTGTTGGGCAGCAAGTGTAATTTGTTCTCAGCATAAATCAGTCTATTTCGCGCAGCTGGGTGGCTGGATACTATTGGGATAAGTTTTTCTGTTAGTTTTAAACGGTCTATTAATTCCAAAGTATTCTTTCCTCCTGGGCCTCGAGGTCTCACTGTTCGAGGGCCTTGCTCAAATATTGCTCCATTTGGTGATTTGTTGCTACAAATCCAGCCACCTACTCTGTTTGAAGCCTCCAGCAATACCATGGAACTGATTCTTGGATTTTCTAAAGCATAATAGGCTGCAGATAACCCTGATATTCCTCCACCCAGTATCACTGTCATCTTGATGCATCTGACCTGTAAATTGTTCATAATAGTACAACTAATCACACTACTTAATCTAAATGTTTGTTGGATACTCAGCCAATGTAGTATTATTTATTACCTATGCGATAAATAACTTGTATAATGCGCATTCAAACATTATATCAAATGGCAATTGTATTTTATTAAATAAACAGTTTTGATATTTACAATGACAGTCATTTCAATACAGCGGAGTAATGAATAATTTAATATTCAGGTTAGTATACTTAACTCACCTAGTTATACAATTTAAAGAAGAATACTTTATCGCAGCAAAAAATTCTTGAATAGAAGTACGGTGCTAACTGACCCAGTGTGCGGTATGTTCAGTATGTTTTGGGTTACATCTCCAAATGCACAAGTTTACTGATTGTTCAAATAAATAAGATAGCTCAACAGCGAGGGCCGAGTTTTTGAATAAGCAAAGAGTGTATTGAAGTACGCTTATGTGCCTGATGGAGTGAAATTCTTGCAACCGCCGGCTGGTCATTCACCAGAGATCAGTAGAGAGATGCACAACGCTACGGTTTTGTGGCGATACCAAAAACATGCTGCTAAATCGTAGCAGCGAATCCGGGAATAGAATTTTGTGATCATCGCCTCCGTCGATAATGGATATCCCGTCGTAGCCGAGCTGAACGTGATCACGAACGGGTAGCCTGGCGGGCAGAGTCCTCCGCTACTTATCGCTGGTTCCCAAAGCAACACTTAGAACGAGACAACTCATCGGATATAGCCTAAATACTTTTTTTTTTTGCAATCCTAAATTCGATCACACAGTGTAAGCTCGGTAAGTTTAATATGACAAAAGCAAGCAACTCATGTCTGCCTGCACTGAAGCGTATGATGCCACAAGCATATTTAATACATATTTTACCGATGTTGCGTAGCAGAACGATTGTTGAAACCTATCAGGAACTGTAGAACTTCTCGAGAACTATTGAAAAAGCCTATTGTTGAATCATTTTCAAGAGATTTTAAAAAAGTGCGATGCTGGAGCTGACGTCCGTGCAGCACCTCCATTTTTGTAATGTTAATATAATATGTATAAATATGTATTTTAATAGAGAGTCCACAGTGTTCTTCTCTCGTCGGTGCGCTATAAACGCGGAATTG